TAAAGGTCTATTCATAATAGCGCCGAAAGTGTCCATAAAAGCGATAATAAACTGTATATTAGTTGACGAGTAGAATGAGATGTAGAGACCTATGGCTTGTTTCCGGTCGAAAAGGAAATGAATTTCAATTCAAGTGGAATTTATTTATGTGAAGCAATAATAATATCAATTAGAAATAGTTTTATTGATTTGATACAGTATGCCAACTATCGAGATGCCCTTATAACTGTGTACAGAATACAGTATCCTTTTAGAATAAATTTTTGCCATTAGCTAATAAAGTATCAGAAAAATAGTAATCTAAAGATTGTATTTAAACAAAATTATTATACAGTATATCTAACTTGCATTTCATTTTCTTGATTTTAGTGGAATTAAAGTTCAAAAATATAGTACTCTTATTATCATAAAAAATATTCAAAAATTTCAATTTTGATATCCATTATTTATACATAAATTATACATAAGTGTAAATATCTCACAGTTACAGTGGATCAGTTGAAATAAGTTAGACAAATATTAGTTATAAAATATTTCTTTTATTCAAATTCAGTAAAATAATACTATTTCTAAAACATTATTAAACCAATTATTGGGTGAAATAAATACTTAATGAGAGAAAAGACAATTGCTGTCAAATAGAAATCATTTAGTGTTCTGCGCTATAGATTTGTTGGCGAGTCTGTAGGAGCCGTCCTCCTGTTTGGTGTACTGGAATCTCGAGGAGCCGTCCGGCAGAGCATACTTGTGAATGGAGATGAGATGTCGGGTGAGGTTATTGCCGCGACTGAAGGCCTTCTGACACACATTACACACGTACTCACACTTAATGGCCAAATGTGTCTCTTTGTGGTGTTTGGAGAAAGTGTGGACACATCGGGACTGGAAGTTACAGAGAGAGCACTTGAAGGGCGGCTCCTCGTTGTGAGTGTCGATGTGTCGCCTCAGGTCTGACCGCGACTTGAATTTAATGTCACAGAACTGGCAGCAAAAGGGCCGCTCATTGCTGTGTCTGTAAGTGATGTGGTGTTTGAGAGCTGAGGGCGAGTTTGTGGTCATTTGGCATTCACTGCACTTATATTTGGTGACGTGAGTGCGGAAGTGCTCAGACAGTAGCGATTGGGTGGGGAACTGACGGCAACACTCCGAACACGAGTACGACTTCTGAGCGGAGTTGCACTTCTGGGCGGACATCGAGTTCATGGCCGTCACTGTCGAGAGGGCCGACGGGTCCGCCAAATCGATCAGCATTAGCTCGTTCTCGGAGTTCAGGTTCTGGATCAGTATCGAAGAAGTGGTCCCATTGTTGCCACCAATCGAGTCGTCCGTTTGGGCCATTTGTATCGTCAAAGTAGTCATCGACTGGTCTTCGCTTTTGGACACATGTATTGTCAACGAATCGCTTTTGTTGGACCCGTTGTCCGTGGATTGTCTGTAGAGATGATCAATGAATTTGCTTTTATTGCAGAACATCGCACCACACGAGGGACAGGCCATCATCTTCTCCTGAGTGTGTGATCTCAAGTGCTCTCTTAAGTGCGACCTCGACGTGAAGGCCGACTCGCAGCTAATCCACAGACATTTGGCGAATTTCGTTCGTTTCAGCTCTTCCTTCGACAGCGAAGGGATGGCCACCTCTTCGATGGCGTGAGTGTCCACGTGTCTGTAGAAGGACTCCGTGTCCACGAAGTCTGTGAAGCACTCCTTCCAGCCGCAGACGAAGACATTCGGCAGTTCTGGCAATACATTCCTCGCCGATGAGTCCATCAGACATGCGATCGACTCGCCTGAAGAATAGGAGGCAATGGATTCACTCATTATAGTCACCGCTCATGACATTCGTGTCGATCAACAACTCATACCCAATGTCTTCATAATGGAGAGACCATTACTCATGAGTTTCTGATGAAAGCCATGGTATGAGATGTGAAGACAAAACTGATTGTAATTCTCGAAATTGTTTTCTTCGCATCCAATCCATTGACAACTGAAGGACTGGTCGCTGTCCTCATCAGTCAAGAGGTCTTTGTTTTGGTCACAGTTTGCGTGTATTTCACGTAAATGTTGCAAATATATCGTCAAATCAGTGAAGACTTTGTGACAATCACTCCATTCGCAGAACAGTTCCATCTGTCCATCACTTCCTCCACGACAGCGCTTCACTCGCGAAGACATCGTCCGCACGAAGACTATCACCGATTGTCACACAAATCACATCCTCTTTGGTGTCAACAACACAACAGTCTTGCGATGCGTTCACACGACTCACCCATAGGTTGAGCTACTGTTCAACACTTCAGTGCTTTTAAGGCAAAAAACTTTTGTTTAAAACTTTCATAAAATTTTATTTCAGATTCATTTCATTGAATTAAAAAACACTTTAAGACTTTAAAAATACATGTAATTATAAAACATAGGAATTAAATACATATTAATATAAAATTGCGATTAAGTGATGGCCTAATGGTGTGGTTTAGTGGTTGTAGAGCCAGTTGAACCATCCGGGGTTAGCCGGGGGACTGGCGTTGGCTTTAGGCTCTTCCGAGTGACCCTTCACTTCATCGATGGGCGACACACTTTGCGAGAAGACACGGATCAGGTATTCCTGGTTTGATGTCGTGTAGAGGCCCTCAGAGTCGGTGCACTTGTGCTCAACCGTCGAGTTGTCGACACATATGAACCGCTTTTGATCGAAGACCGAGTCGT